TGAGTTTTCGCCACCTTTTCTCTCTCCTAGAGAAATCGGTGTTATTCGCTAGGTGCTAGCGAACGCCCGGTGCTTGCATAGCCAGCTCCGGTTTCCATTGCTTCCACGCTGCATCACCTCGGCTTGGAATCTTGGCTCTAAGGGAGACCTACAATTAGAAAATACATCAAAGACCCCAAGGTGATATCACAAGAGCGTAGACTCTAATGGTTAAGTTAGTAATGCCAAAAGAAGAGAATGTGAGCCAAAGAACTTAGTAAAATGAGGTGAGATCTCGTGAGAGAGTTAAAAAGCTCAGTGAAGTGAACTGCAGAGCTTGGTGGGAGAGCTAGAGAGTTGGAGAGATTGGTGGAGTGAGACGGAGAGTTCAATGATGTGTACCGAGGTGTCTAACATGTCTTGTGCATAGTAGCATAATACAGTGTTGTTTTGTGTGTCCAAATGAATGAGAGGATCACCTATTTATAGGAGACAGGCTTCATCCAAGAACCAATACATCGTTCACACATGGTCTGAGCTTGGTCCATTTGTCATGCCCTTGGTACGTTGTATAAATGTTGTGTACATGTTTTATGAACATGGTAAGCAGTGGGCTTGCATAGAATGCATTGGCATTGATGTTCTGATAAGTTCGGCCACGTGTTACTTGTGTACATGTTATGAGCTGGTACAAGGTCATCTCGTCTAATTCAAGTATGCTCAGCCTGATCAATTAACTACTTTGCCCCGCCCCAGCATGCTGCCACTTAGCAGTTTCTGACTAGTGGTTTGTTTTAGCCGTATCATCATTCATGGGGAGATGTTCCCAATGCACGGCATTCTCTATGAGGAGAAAATTCGAATTCATGAGTTCTCCCAAATACAACGAAATGCCTTGCCAGTTACCATACAAGGTTATGAGATCTCATCCAATATTTATACATTGGAGATAAATCGTACTAAGGTTATGCTTTGTTTGATAGAAAATAAGAGAAACAAGAAAGTTAAAGTAAAAGTTTTACAGGAATTTCTCTTTATCTCTTATTTTCTATTAAACCAAACACAGGTTAGTTGAAGTACCCCCATTTTAGTTAATCCATATAACTAGTATGGTGTCAGTAATGGCTATCTGATTACCCAGTCCTCATCGTAGGGCCCTAGGTGATCCGAGATTAATTCCAAAAAACATTGGCCCAGGTCGGGTCCATGGTTTAGAACTCTTGAAAATTGGTTCCAAATTTGGACCCAGGCCTGCTTTAGAAATAATTGAACCCGAGCTGTTGGACCATACATACCTTAACAGGTCCAAGAAACATCTTAGGTAGTTGGACCATCCAACATGAGACCAGATTTGGTCCTCACAAAATTGTCTTCACACAGTTTTTACAGCCTTGCATTGGAAACATCTTCATACTTGTATATTTTTATTCATAGGAAGATACTCCAATTACTGCAGGGGATGTGAGGATGGTGTGATCAGTCTTGTGAGAACCAAATCCGAATTCATCCAGCAGGCAGTAAAATTGGCTACAATTTTTTGTTTTGGTTTCTGGTTTTGAGAACACAGATCCACATACACTTTGATTAAACAAGAAAATGAGAGAACCAACCAAAGACCAATTTATAATAGAGTGATATTTTACTTTAATTTTCAGCAGAATTATTAATTATCATGCATTAAGAAAAATGCGTAGCATATACAGGCAATTTACAAATGGAAAGAAATTGAAGTGAACAAAGGTTCACTAATTTCTTTTAAGTTGGGGAAGGGCTTCTCATTGAGGAAGTCTTTGATAATAAATTAAATGCTCTCGGTAGCTCGTAGCTTGGGTCCTCATGACCTGCTACTCTCACTGTAGCACATTTCAGAAAAGAAAAGAACGATCAAATACCCAAAATATTGATTACAAATAGAATGAAATTAAACTAGAGTGATAAAAGATTCTCTATTCTCCTAAAAATATGGGAAATGGCTTCTCTTCCACGAAGTTCTTTGATAAATTCAAGTGCTCAGCGGGGCTTGTAGCTCAGGACCTCATGATCGACATGCACCTCTGACTGTATGAATTATGAAATGTTATCCCCATCCTTGCTGCAGGTGACTCCAAGAACAAAGCATTTGACCTGCAGAACCGTAAATGAACAAGAGCAATAAGATTGTTTCTTCACTCACTTTCTGCTTTCTCTGTGTAAAACTGAAAGGAGAAACTAAACCCAAGATCAAGCGAACATAATCCTACCTTTGTTCCACGCATTTTCATTCTCATAAAGCATTTTCCAATCGCTGCTGATCACACGAAATGGTCCGAGTTTCTCAGTTGCTCCAACACCCAAAGAAGAACAACCAGGACCAGGACCTGTAATGAACAACTACAATAAGCCAAAACTCACCTTTCTATCGCTACAAAGCTGTATCGGGATTGAATGAACCTCCATTAAACCAGAGGATGAGCGGCAAGGAATCCTTGGGGCCATCAGCTTCGGCGAGATTTAGTTTCTGAGGTTGTCCTCGTAGCTCTGTAATCCTACATTGCTCTTTAAATCCTTCCAGAGATAGAACTTCAACTTTGACGTTAATATCTTTATTTGTGGCCAGGTTGGAGACGCCATTGACAAAACGCATCTCTGGCTGTGCCTCGATAATCCGTTTAGGAGCATCTGCTTGCTTAGCAGGAGTATCCCCGTGTAAGCCATGGCTATTCAATGTAAGAAATAATGAAACAAGGTAAGGAAAGAAGGAAAGAATGTAATAATTCTTCATCAATCTTTTTCAATTTTCAAATGAGAAAAGTCATTTCCATCTGTTTGTGTTTGTGTTGTTAGATTTTATAAAAAGCTTTAGAAGAACTAGCCATCCTAACAAAATATCAAATTCTGGGGTTCGTTAAGAATGTAGGGAGCTTATATCATCTAAATTTGAAAGTTGGTTGGTTGGACAAATAGGAGACTGAGATTATTGGATGGTCTTTCTTGATCTCTCTTGACCTCTCTTTACCTCAACCATCACCACATCCAGGGCCGTTGTAATCAACCCAACTTTAGTTTCAGTCATTGAGGAGTTCACATCCTTTTTAACAGCTTATTCACTAAAAGACAGCAGTTATTGATTCAGTTCAGCTATTTCAGCAGCTGTAAAAGAAGATCCGAAACCTACTTGCCATAATTGAGGACCCAAAATTGGGTAGGAACAATCAATTGATGAAATTGGTTGTACTTATACATAATAAGTCCACCGATCCAATGAAGAAGATTGATTGATGTTGACATTCTAAGATGAATTTCTGCAACAAATTGAATCTAAGTGATGTTGAACGGAGCCATGTTACTAATTGTTATTTATGCATGCCTAATCACTCCAATGATATCAATAAATTGACATGATCAGTTAAAAGTAACTTTTGTCATACAACTTTATATAAATAACTCTAATATTTTAGAGTGAGAGTATGTATCATTTTAAATTATATAAGGTTGCAGTGGAATTCAGAATTCTACATTATGGTGCAATATATTTTTCCATAGTATAAATTGCTTTAACAACTTTTTATTTTTATTATTTGGCTATTAATCGCTTTAGCGATTTTTAAGTTTTAATTCATGCCACCCGGCGTTGCTTGCCTTATCAAGAGTCAAGGGATAATTCAGATAAAATTCCTTGAGTGCGCTGGATACTATATATCCATGGTCATCTCCCTTGCTTTCAATGAAAATCTGTCAGGGAGAGATGTGTAACTTCTGTCGTTGAATAGAACTTAAAAAAGAAAAGAAAAGAAAAAGAAATTCTTAATGATAAGCTAATAAATTTTCAATTAATATTAACGGTAAGGTACAATCAATTGACCTGACTATAAATGTTTTTGGACATCATTGTTGTATGTAAAAGAAACAAAGACAAAATAAGAATTTCACTATGAATTGGGAGAGAAAGGGGTAAAAACTAATTAGATATATTCATTTTGGGTAGGGGTCCCCCTTGGAGGTAATAATAAATCAGTGCAAGCCCTCTGCGAGGCTGGTAGCTTGGGACTTCATGACCTGCTCCTCTCACTGTGGCAAATGTTAAGTTGCCTTTGTACACAACGCTGTATCCACCCACCTGTGACAAGCATAATCAATACCATTCAGTAGATGAATGAGGATGGGTTTAACCATTACACGTTAAAGCACCCAAAATATACCACTAATCTGGAACATTCTGTCGTTTCGAGTGGGTCCCAATTTGTCAATACTTGTGGGTCCCGTCACAATATTCCAGTTGTATGGTACTAAGGGGTACAAGAAATGATAACGTGCGATACTTGGGTTCTACCCACATCTGAAATTTGGCCCATGCATAGGGTTTCATTGGACAATTATAAACGGCCCGGGATCTTCCATGTAGGCAACATGGAAAATTTTGGCCCATCCATACATGCATACATATGATAAGTTGGTTAAGAAGAAATTACCTCATTTGACAGGGCCCAAGGATACCAGGAAGTATTCACCGCAAGTTGAAGCTTATTAAGAGAATATCTGGTTGAAGTTACAGGAACTCTAGCATCTACGTCGCCACTGCATTACGACCAATGAACCAAATATTTAATCTCACATATCATATTTCATTTAATAAATTACTAAAAGTCCATCTCTACTGAATCAACAATGAAGTTTTGATCATTTTTAAATTCCACCCATTTATGTTTTTTTTTTTAATGAATAACAAATCAAATGACTAAAAATCCATCCAAATTGAGGAAACCCCATTTCAGGATTCCTTTCTCCAAATTCCATCGTTCAGATTACAGAATGCAACCAACGTTAAGAAAGAAATTAGGAAGCCAGAAATGAATATACATATACCTATACACCCAAACACGAAGTCCGTTGGCCATGAATTCCTGTAAGAGAGGAAGAATGGTTGACGGGCTGTCTGTCCAGTTATTGAGTACGTCGCTGTGAATCATGGTATTTCGATTAAACTCTTAAATTTACAGAGGGAAAGAAAAAACATAAACAAGTAATCTGCACAAACAGAGGATTGGATTTCCCTTCTTACCTGCAGGGTTGCCAGTCATACTTGAGTTTGGTGACATTGGCATGGAGGGCATTTTGCACATCTGGACGGTTCAAGTATGCATATACGTAATAATCGGTGCATGGATCGAATTCCTCAATCTGTAACAAAAATAAAAAATAAAACAAAATCTCTCAAAATATGAATTCGGATTCTAGAACAGAGCCAAGAATAGACATTGTAATAAATCAATACAGGGAGCATTCAAGAAAATAATGTTGAGTAAATAATCTTACCGAGGCCAACTTGGGCTTTTCTGTGAGGTTGGAAGAGTGGCAAAGTGGGGCATAAATGTTATACATGTCAATGGGATCAATATCTTCATAATCTTCATTGACAGCTTCAATGCACTTGTCAGTTATGTTAGCACCAGGAGAGAAATCACAGTACTTGTCGATTGCATATTTGTCTTCATCAGAAGTTAAAGCATGGGTCCAGAAATAATCAAGCATTCCCTTGGTGTCAGTTTCATCATTTATCACTGCATTTCCTATCTGCAACACAGACAACAGATTGAGTAGACTTGTAATTGATTTCCCAGAGAGAGAGAGAGAGAGAGTACCATGATCCCTTTGAGATTGATGATGTTCTTCTGTGAAATCTTGTTATGCTGAAGAATGGTATGAGCAAATTGGGGCACATAATGGCCAGCATAGCTCTCTCCAGCTATATAGAAATCTCTAGTCTTGTACTCAGGAAATCTCTCTAACCAATTTACCAAGAAGACATAGTTATCTTCAGCTGTATTTCGATCTCCTCTTGTAGCATAATCAGATGTTCTGTTTGAGTAGGAAAAGCCTACACCAGCAGGAGACTCCAAGAACAAAACATTGGCCACTGAGACCACAACAAGAACAAATTAATCAGCCAATAATAGAAGCTTGGTTAAATCAAAAGATAACAAAAAACAAAAAATGAATGCAATAAGCAGCCAAGATCAACCTTTGTTCCATGCAAATGGATTTTCGTAGAGTGTCTTGCCATCACTCTTCACTCGAAATGGTCCAAGCTCCTCCATTGCTCCATACCCAAGTGAAGAACAACCAGGACCTTAGAGAACAGATATCAAACCAAACATGAGTACCCAAATTTCTTTGCTCATCAATTGCCAATAAGATGATGAAAAATTAATGGGTCAATGTTTATATTTAGTTCATGTAATGCCTACAGGGGTAGAAGAGGTAATTTGCCCTTATATTTAAACAATAATATTTAGCATTAATATGGTAAGGACAACAATCAATTTGCTGGAAGAAATTGATTGATCACCTTCAATATCATTATCGTCACATGACAAAAAGTTATGGAATCTTCCTTAGAAGGTCCACTTTCAGACTGGAATCAACTGGATACCCAGACCCCACCTAGAGTTCTACATCTACAGAACAGCTGAGCAAAAGGACAAAACACCAACCAGATTTTGACCAAACTGCCCCTGGCATATTGTCCTTTTCCGACGTGCATTGACTAAAAGGCCCATTGGAATGGAGCAACCAACTTAAGTAAACGACATAAGACCCATTGGAGTGGATGCAACAAGAATTAGTGAATTAGATGCACACCCACAAAAATTTATAATAAAACTAAAAGATAAAACTAATAAACATCATTCAGTTCAACAGAATATCAATACCTCCGTTAAGCCAGAGAAGGAGAGGCTTGGACTTCTTATTGTAGTGAGATTCAGCAAAGTAGTAATAAAGAGCTCGACCAGCCGATTCATCCACAGTGACATAGCCTCCATATTGAGAGAACCGAACAGGGGGTTGCCCGGGCAATCTTTTGATCCTATCCTTCTCTTTCAACCCTTCCTGCGGGAGCACTCGAGCTTCATCCATGATTTCGATCTTCTCATCAAAGCTCCTATCGATTGCGACTTTCCTCTGCAACTTCGCCATACGGAAACGGCCAAGAACTTCTGCTTGCCTTCCATTAGTTTGAGCAATAAAGCAAGAGAGGCAGAAAAGGAAACAAATAACGAGACTGGGCTTCTTCATCTCTCCTCGATCCTTCCTTCTCTCCTCAATCCTCTCGAATGGAAGGATTTCGATACGAGGAGAACAATTTATAGAGCCAAGCTCTGTGAAAGGATATACTCAGTTTCTTCTATATTTCAGTGACGTTCTTCAACAAATTATTGAATGAAGGCAATATTTTCGTCCAGATTGGAAAGGGATCGGGTCGCGTGTCAATTCGAAAGATGTAACATAAATGGATCTAAATCAGAAGATAAGAGATAAGCCGTAAATAACGTAAAAACAAAAGATCTATCTATGTATTACTTCCCTACCCTATCAAAATTCTAGGGATTTTTAACTGACTTTTTAGAAAAAAAAAAGAACTCCAATACTCCATACAACTCTACCTTAATTACTTTCCATCTTGAATTTGGTATCTATCTGGATAATGCCCAATTTTATTAGGAAGTTTAATAACTTAATTAATTAATGTAAGCATTTAATTAAATTTAAATAATTAATAACTTAATAACAATTCAATAAAGGGAAATTGTCTAACACTCACCATGAGTTTTCAACATTTCCCTTAAACTCACCGCAACTTTTCAAAATGTATAAAATTCACCATGTCAGTAAGTTTTTATTTTCCAAAACTTACTTTCCGTTAGTGCACCGTTAATGCTTCTTAACAGAGCTGTCCATGTTAGCATAAATAACAATTTTCATGACCAAATTACCCTTGAATGGCGACTTAGAGGGAAAATGGTCTTTTTTATTTTTCAATTTTCTTGTTTTTTTTTGCATTTTTAGTGTTTTGTTATACTTTCCAATGTTTTTATAATTTTTGTTTTTTTACATTTTCTATTTTCTACAATCTATAAAATTCCCTGTATTTTTTGTTATTTATTTGTAATTTCTGTGTGTTTTCTATAATTTTTGGTGTTTTTCTTCAATTCTTATTTTCTAATTTTGTTTTTCAATTTCTATAGTTTCTATAATTTGAAAATAATTTTTATTTTGTTTTCAATTTATATAATTTTTTATATATATTTTTTGTAATTTTTTTGTTTTTATGTATTTTATATTTGAAAATATTTTTTGAACTCTTTTCTTTCTTCATGTCTAAATATTAAAATGGTAATATATTAACACCCGTTAATTTATTTTGTATATATTTTATATTGTTCTATGAAGGTTAAAATGGTAATATATTAACACCCATTAGTCTGTTTAACATCAAGTTAGTGACATGGTGAGCTTTAAACATTTTGAAAAGTTGTGAGTTTAAGAGAAATGCTGAAAACTCATGATGAGTTTTACACAATTTCCCTTCAATAAAAATAATAGAATCTAATATGAATTAATGCAACTTTATTAACAAACTTCAACAAATATTAGTTTTCGAATTAATTTTTATTAATTTAAAATCTATTATAAAATAATAATATTAATACAAATTAGTGAAATGTAAAAAAACTCTTCTAACAGAAACTAAAAAAAGAAAATAGTTAACAAAAAATAAAATCAATTTAAATTTATATAAAAATATTAAAAATTAATAGAAATTATTTACCAATAGTAAATTTAATAAAATTAACTTAATTAATTAATTAACATAGTTGAGAGCTTAGCTTAATTCGTAACTTAAAAAGTTAATTAAGTGATTAAGCTGATAATAAAAATAATATATATTAACAGAAATTAATATTTGTTTCAGATGGTTGAACGGTTGACTCACTACCTACAAGGAAATAAAATTCCAATTGTTTTTTGTTAATATTTTCAACTTGTGGATTGAAACGGTTGACCTTTCACCCGAGTAGGGTTTTGTATCCATTTCACTACCAAATTTATTGCTTGCAAAAAAATTGTTGACTTGATCAATTTAAAAAATAAAATTGGTTGAATTTGTTTAGCCTGGTCAACGTATCACATGTTGCATGTTAATTCTCTTTGCTTTTCAAAATTTTTATATTCCATTTCCATCATTAATAAAAATAATTTTTATTCATCCGTCACACTTCTTTTTGTTTAATATGATATTTATATTTATATTTATACTACTATTAAAAGTGTGAATGAGAGTGTGGAACTTTTGTTCGAATAAAATACCCCAATTTTTGAACTTGATTTTTCTTTAACTGTGAAGGCACAAAATATAATTTTATACTACATATCTCCTCATTCAATTTCCTCTCATTAAGTAAATTCAGGGTATTAACTCCCATTCTCTCATTGAATCCTTTATTAACTAACCATATTAAATATTAAAGAAAAATAAGTGTGATGAAGAATAATTGTTTTTTTTTTTATGATAGAAATATAATAGAAAGACCATCGTAATGATGAACTAAACTAGCAGTCCAAACCATACATTTGGCAACACTGTCAAAGTTAGTCATGTATTGGAACTTAACCCCTGATTTGCTCTAAATGATACTTGCATCATTAATTACATGTTTCCAACAATTAGCAACATAGTAGAGGGTCATTGATAGTTTCATGGGAAATGAACTTAGGAAACAAAACCAGATATGCACCCAACAAAGTCTGTTTAAAATTGTTCAAACAAGATATGTGTCAACATTGTTTTAGAAAGCTTAAGCTTTGAGACATGAGGGGCGAGACACTTAGATTTTGTCTTAAGGCTTAAGCTTCACTACTTGATGTAAGAATTAAGTGTTTGTTAGGGGTGTTCACATTAAATGTCAAACCGACTAAACCGGCCCGACCCAACTCGAGGAGGTTGGTTTTTCAAAACTATCGGTTAGTTTCAATTTTGATGAGAAAATAAATTGACAACTCAGTTCGGTTTCGGTTTTCATACCGAACCGAACTGATCCTATATTTGTTTAAGTAATTATTAATTAGTCTCTACCCTATATGTTAAATTTTGATATATTTTATTTGCGTTTTGTTTGAACTTTGAAAATATTGGTTACTTATGATAAAAACTAAAAAGTAAAACCAATACAAATGTAATACAATGGTACAATATTTAATTCAGTTTTGTATAAAAAATTAATCAATTTAAATATATACTTTGATTTTGCATAAAAAATAAAAAAAAATAAACTTAAACATAAATAAATATTTTAGTTATATATATATAAATCGACCCAAACCGGTCCTTCATGTTTGGGTCGGTTTTGCTTAAGGGTCGGTCGATTTCGGTTTAGTCAAAAAGTAAACCAACTAGGTCGAGTTGGTTGAAGAAAATGACTCAAACCGATCCAACCCGACCCGTGAACACTCCTAGTGTTTGTCAGAATGAGGCATAAGCTAGCCTCAAGCCTCAAGGCGTTAGTCGTAGCTAGAGGGGTAAAAAGGTGTAAGCAAAAAAATATATATTTTATGCATTTTTATAGCTTAAAATACATGGAATAAGCACTTCAATAATTAAGGGCCAAATAAAAAGAATAAAAATGAAAAAATCAATAAGACAAATAAACTTTATTAGTTCTCTTAGTGTTTTAGGAGAATCCAATGCAAAAAGGGCCAATCAAGTTCTTAATTTTTCTTGAATAAATCAACTTTACCTATTATTCTAAATATAACATCTCTAGTTTATTATTTTTGCCATTTCTTTTCCTAATGAATCTTTTTCTTTTTATTGTTTTTTGCATTAACTAAGTTATTTCCTTTCTTCTAAACTATTGGATAATCATAAATCAAATATCAATTATATGGATAATTCTTCTTGTGTTTTCTTTCTTTTAAATTGATCATTTGAATAATTTGAGAATTTAACATCAAATATAAAATGTTTATAATCATTAGTTGATTAGGCATTATTTTATTTAATGCTTAAACACTGAAACTTATCACTTATAAACTTAGATGGTGTTTGGAAGTGTGGGTCCTTTTTGGGACTGATTTTCAAGAAAAAACGCCCATGCTCCCAAGACCCGTTTTTCACAAAAAAATGCATTGATTTTGTTTGGGAGTGTTTCTGCCTCATATGCAGTGAGCAACACTATGCTGTTTGGTAAGGTGATTTTCATCACTATTTTTCATGTATGTGCTGACAGGTAAGCACCACATAGGATACACGTAATTGCCAATCAGTCAACCATTGGGGGCAATGGTTCACTGATGCATGAAACGCCAAATTTGACGTTTCATGCATCGGTGGGGTCCCGACTTACGAGGCATGCCCATGGTTCAAGTGTTTTTTCAGAAAACGCGTTTTGTTTAATATGATGGTTGAATTGCTTAGTCATCACTTGGATTATGGTTTTATATTCTTAAAAGTATTGGACATATACCTAATTAATAGCATTTATTAGTGAAAAAATAACTTAAATTTAGGATTTAATAAGAGAGAATGAACATTAGCACATCAAATATATGACTTAATGTGAGGGATTTGAACGAGGTAAAACATAGTTCGAATTACATTTTTTGCCCTTACAATTAAAAAGTGACTAAATTCAAATTACATTTTTGACAATTTTTATATTTTCATTTGTATCAAAATAATTCTTATTTATCACACTTAGTTTTGTTTAATATGATGAACATACGATATTAGAGATGCGCCCAAATGTTTTTATTGCAAAATTGATGTATTTTTTATTTTTTTTTCATTTTCTTAATTTTTATTATTTAATTATGACATTAAATATTGACACATGACCTAAAAGTTGAACTATTGACCCTGACCAAATAGGAAATCAATTTCATTTTTTGGTTGGTTTTAAAATTTGTATTTCATTTCCATTATCAATAAAAATAATTCTTCTTTACGACTATTTAATATGATTAATATAAAATATCAAAGAAATGACCTATTTTTCTACTTTGTGAATTTGCTTCTATTTTAAATATTTTATTATTTAACTATGACATCATGGATTCACCCAATTGACCCCTCACAATTAAAGAAGGACTAAATTCAAATATTGGGGTAGTTTAGTAAAAAAGAAAGTTTCATACCCTTATTATTGTTTAATATGTCAAATATATGATGCTAAAAATGTTTCCATTTTATCTATTTTTCAACTTTTTTTGTATAATTGTGGCAACAAGAATTGACCCATTTGACCCAAAATGGTTTAATTTCTTACCACCACCTAGATGAAAAATACTATTTTCCATGTAGCTTTCAAAAGTGTAAGTTTTTTTGTTATTAGAATTATTAATTTATTATGTATGGATTTAATTAGTAGAATTTAGTGACGAGAATAAATTAATGCTTTAAATATATGATTCAATGAGGGTAAATGAGAGTTAATACATTAAATGTGAGATGTAATGAGAAGGTACTGAATGGAATAATAGTATTCAAATTACATTTTCTACCCTCACAACAAAGGGATTGTATTTCAAAAAAGGGGTATTTTAGTCAATAAAAATCCCATAAATTTTTGAAGCTATTCGTACTTTTTATAGTAGTATAGATGTACGCACACATATTATGTTGGAATGTATTGAAACCGTTTTTTGTTTGAAGCAAATCCAAATTCTTAATAAATGAAAATTTTATTTTGCAATCACCAGCCCTGAACTTTCTGACATAGTTGCAAGTAGACCCCCTCTAGTAGAATCTTCTAAAAAGAGTCATGAAAATGTCCAAAATACCCACTCAGTTACTTTTGACAAAAGTGTTTATTTTCTAAATTTTCTCTTTATATGATTCACTACCTCAAACCCTTATCTCTTTTTTGAAAACTACAATTTTAAATTGTCTGTTTTTTGTTATTGTTTATAAAATTTGTATTATTTTTTTTCCATGAAAACGGATCCCAATATTAACTTTATGAGTATTTTGGACATTTTTGTAACTGTTGTTAGAGGATTCTAACAAAGAAGACGATCTATTTGTAACTATTTATCAGAAAGTTCAGAAAGATGTTTGCAATTAATAAAGTTAAAAGAAGGTTTCAACAACCATAAAAAACTTGAGGGGATGCTTCAATAATTTATCCTAATACTAAAACAAGAATACTAGTTGGAATATGATGTTGTTTATTGAAGGGATTGGATTGAGGATGCCAGATTGCTATAGTTGTGGTTTCGGGTACGTTAAGTAGCAGACCTTTGAAAGATCAGACCCATTATTGGATTTGGATGAATCCCATCTAGAGATGAAATGATCCACCGAGAGTGAGAAAAAATTAAGGGATATACGTGGTCCACTATTGTTTAGATAATCTGATTGATTAATGCCTCACACCTTGAGAGGTTCCAACTTCCAAAAATTGAAATTGGACGTCCAATCGCCATCAAATGTTTGCTTAGAGAACACGTTTAGGATAAGAAAATCAAGTTCAATTAATCTCCCAGCCCCACGTAGGACTCAGTACTGAATGGTTGGCCCTCGACACCGGTTTCAGAAACAGCCGCTACTATACCTACCGCTTTACAAGAATATAGAAAAGGAACTAAATGTGAATAAGGCATGTTTTGTGGGAAGCCCATGCGAATTCAAAACAAGTGGGACCGGACAAGGGCTATTCTCAATGCACAGAACAGAAGCAATGGCTGTTGGAACCGGTTGTTGAGACCTTATGTTGGAAGGGAGTAGCCAGGGGGACCCAGGGAGCCATGGCCCATTGGCCCCCCTATACTCCAGAAATCACCATTTATAAATATTTTTTGTATATAAATTTTTTCTTCCCCCATTTCCCATTCTAATGGGTTGGCCTTCTTATGGCCATCTATATTTATTCCCCCCTCTCTCCAATTCATTTTTGTATATAAAATTTCTGACTCCGCCCTGTATGTAACTTGGGATCATTTGTTCCTTTCTTTTACTCATAATTTGCAATTCTCTCATTGTGTTGAAACAAGCCAAATTTGAAATTAAGTCAGGGTCCCTTTTGTTATCAATGTTTTGGAGGTGAAATGAGGATTCTTAATTAATTGTGAATCGGAAGTACTTAACCTATTCATCACCATGATTATTAGTTATTAAATGAAAGAAAAATCTATAATGCTGGCAAGACATAAAATGGAAAATTCTGGATGAATTGGTAATGGTTGAACTGGACTGACTGGACGGTCTAACCATCCGACCTCTGCTGAGATAACATTGATTAAATGGCAGAAGTATAATTGAGGACACTACAAATAATATATTCATGATTTCAAATAATATTTGGGTAGTTTTGGCTTCTTTGCTTTCTATAAGGTGCTTCAGGCATTGCGGGGGAGGGGCTTTCCATGAAGGAAGTAGTTAACAAGTGTAAGTGCTCTCAGTGGCTGGTAGCTTGGGACCTCGTGACCTGCTCCTCTCACTGTAGCGAACGTTAAGCCACCCTTGTACACAACAGTGTATCCACCAACCTGTTACCACCGAGTGAAATGCCACATCTACATATATCATCATATATATGGTTTTGGTTTTACATGAAAAGTTGAAAACTGAGGGGCGGATTTCAGTAATTAAATCCACATATTCCCATTATAAGAAGATGATTTGCCCCCAGAGATCTCCAAGCCCAGAAGTCAATCAAGTGATCTGATCTGAACCATCCAAAAAGATGGCTTTATGAGGGCTTAGAAGATCTGCTTGGTGGGGTACATTAATTCATAAGAAAGTTTTCTATGGCCCAATAGTCCTGGATAATGTCTAAAGATACCCATTTGTGTTTGGGCTCAAGCCCAACACTCAGTGCACTTGAAAACCTGGCCTAGCTAATGAGCTGGCTCAGGTCCTTTTAATTTGCATGAAGATAATAATTTATTAATAAAAACAGACAGATAGAGAGAGAGAGAGAGAGAGAGAGAGAGAGAGAGAGTCTATTATAAGGTGATTAGGAAAACATTACCTCACGTTTTGTGTACCAAGGATACCATGACGTATTTACTTGAAGTTGAAGCTTATTCAGAGAATATCTGGTTGAAGTTACAGGAACTCTACCATCTACGTCGCCACTGCAATTCATACAGTGAGAACCATGATAAGTGATGCAAATACCATTTTAGCAGGAATTATCAACTGAGTTGAGTGGGTTATGTTTCTTAAATTGTGACATCATTGATGGTTCACAAAAATACAAAAACCGAAGGTCTAGACCAATGCTTTAGTATGCCAATCTTTATCATCGGATGCATGGTTTCAGACATTCAGTGGTAATTCATCCAGTTCCATTTGAATCCTCATGAAGAATCAAGTGAAACCATTTTTGATTTAGAGGATATAGGTTATAATTAAGATGAGGCCCAGTCAATTTGATTCAAATCCTCAAAATTCATGCTATATATGTTCTGTTCATGATTAGATCCTAATGATTTTCAAGGGAAAAATAGGAAACTACTTAACCTGAACACCAAAACGCGAATTCCATTATCCATAAACTCCTGTAGAAGGTAAACAACTGTTGATGGACTGTCATTCCATTTAGTGAGTACATCGCTGCGATTTTTATGAATTCTATTAAAATGCTGAAGTTGTGAGAAGAATGATGAAAACATGCAAGCTAAGTAGAGGGATTCCTTCCTGTTACTTACCTGCAGGGTTGCCAATCATATTTGAGCTTGGTGATATTGGCATGAAGAGCTTCTTGGACATCTGGCTGGTTTAAGTAAGCAACGACATAATTATCGCTGCATGGATCGAAGTTCATGAGCTGCAAAACAACAAGCAATCTGTCTGAGTCAGTAAAACTTTCATATAAGATTCTTAAAGAGATGAAATTCTTTTGAGAAATCTTCGTTGTTTAATTGCCTTTTCAAATTTTGTTCCAAGGAACTAACCACCAATTCAGCTGTTATTTTGTAAAGCTAATCTTACCGAGGCCTTTTTGGGTTTCTCTGTCAGGTTGGAGGAGAAGCACTGGGAGCCATAGATGTTGTAGATATCTATTAAGACCTCATTCATAAAAGCTTCATTAGTACTGTTAATGCATTCGTCACTCCATTCAAGCTCACTCTCACTGAAATTGCAGTATTTGTTGATTGCTATGTTGGTTTCATCTGAAGACAGAGCATGGGTCCAAGCATAATCATACATGCCCTTCTGGTCAGTTTCGTCATTGATCACTGCATTGCCAATCTGCAATATATGCATAGACAACAAAATATGTAAAGATGTAAATTGATTCTTTAATGGCTCTGAATGATACTTGTGTAACCCAGTCTGAGAGAGAGAGAGAGAGAGTACCATGATCCCTTTGAGATTGATGATGTTGTTCTGCTCAATCTTATTATGCTGAAGAATGGTATGAGCAAATTGGGGAACATAATGGCCGGCATAGCTCTCTCCAGCTATATAGAAATCTCTAGTCTTGTACTCAGGAAATCTCTCTAACCAATTTACCAAGAAGACATAGTTATCTTCAGCTGTACTTTGATCTCCTCTTGTAGCATAATCAGATGTCCTGTTTGAGTAAGAAAAGCCTACACCAGCAGGAGACTCCAAGAACAAAACATTGACCACTATTAAAAACAAGAAAGAAGAGAGGAAATTAAGATCATTGTGAATGACTCAACCTCTATCAAGGGAAAAAAAGATTGAAACATTCTCAACCTCTATTCCATGAATATCGATTTTCGTAGAGTGTTTTGCCATCACTGTGAACTCTGAATGGACCAAGCTCCTCCATTGCTCCATACCCAAGTGAAGAACACCCGGGACCTTGAAAGAGATGAAACACCAAAAACATTCAAATCTCTCTGATTTTGACTACTAATTACTACTAGAATTAACAACAAAAGCCATTATTTTTAAATCATTACTTATTAATCATAGAAGATTGAGGACATGAAAACAGATGAACTAACCATCAGCATTTTTGAACTACCAAAGAAGTATCAATACAATAATAATAACAAGAATGATTGATTGTTAAAGAAATGGTTCACATTCTTTTCACATAGAAAAGCAAGGTTGGTTCAAAGAGGGGCCCCACTCCCCACCTCGTTTTGACATGAAATGAGGGACCCCTCATCAGTCCCCACGCACACATGAAGAGCCCCCATTGCAGTCATTTTCATGTATTATAAGTTTTAGAACTACTGGTAGGAAAAATGGACCACACAGAAATGAAAAACCCATTTCAAAGAAAGGAAGAAAGAGAAGCAGAAGATTTAGATCGATCAAAATACCTCCATTAAGCCAAAGAAGTAGAGGTTTAGATTTGGGATCCTGAGCTTCAACAAAGTAATAGAAAAGAGCCCGACCAGCTGATTCATCGACCGTGACATAACCTCCATACTGCTTGAACCCAACAGGAGGCTGTCCGGGCAACCTCTCGATCATATCCTTCTCCTTCAATCCTTCCTGTGGAAGGACTTCAGCTTCATTTATGATTTGGGTCATCTTCATTTCATAACTACTGGTCAGGTCGATTCCAGCTTTGTTCTGAAGCTTCGCCTGATAGAGACGGGCAAGAGCATCTGCTTGCCTTCCATGGCTTTGAGCAACATAGCATGAGAGAGAGAGAAGAAAGCAAATAACAAGATCAACCTTCTTCATCTGCTATTCTCTTCTCTCAAGCTTCAATATGAGACAAGTTTCATCACAGAAGACAACTATTTATATATCTCAAAGTCTTCCTCACAACTAAACTTGATAAAATTTAGCTGTTAAATTTCACAATCTTTCCCACTAAAAGTTCCGATTTGTTGAACCGTTGAACCAAATTGTTTGTCCATATTCCGTGCAAACGGGTCGGGTCGGGTCGAATGTAAAGTTAGCACATTTCTAGTCGCTGTAACTGCCTCCCTCTTACTTATCAGCGGTTTCCTATTTCAAATCCTCTACAGTAACCGGAGGATACTGGACCAATCATGAACCAGAGCATCAGCCAGTCATGTGGGACCTTTTTACAGATCTGATGTTGTGTAACGTGATTGGATGACTGACCCAAGAGATGAACTAAAAATTGGTTACTTGGAATACTCCTCATCCATGCCAACTCTATATTATAAGAAGCAAGCAACAAGCTAACAACAGCCATGTCTCAGAATGTGTCTTCATACGGAGTCCAACAACCTCAAGAGTAAGAGATTCCATGATTTTCCGTATCCTTTGTGACCTATGAATTGCCATGTGGCAAATAATAATCATTAGGATCATTTAAACACCCCTATACTTTTACGGATTTATTTAAACCTATGCTATAATTTTTATTTTACTGAAACACCCTTGTAGTTGGCAATCTATTATTAAAAAGTTTTTGTTTTGTCATCTGAAAATAGCAACATGATCACCTAAACAGCTAAGCTGACTTGAAAATGTTTAAAGCCATGAACCCATATTTATTTATTCCAAAAGTATCCCTAATACTTCTTTTAATAGTAAACAAAAGTGACCAAATAAAATTAAATAGAGTGGTTGTTTATGTCTTATTAGGGACAAAAATGATATTTTTATTTTTGTTTTATTTTGATTAAATTTATTCAAATAGACATTAAGATCAAAACCATTATTTTTCACTATCATCTAATGAAAAACCCATTAAATAAATCCATTTCAAACTATAAGGGATGTTCTAGTAAACAACCCTAATCTTTTAGCCATGAGCCTGCAGCAATATTTCATTCTTATAATAATAATTTAGTCGGTTTTATGACCCCCACCGCAGATAAATCTTTAACCAAAAGCATGTTTTGGGCCCCCACCAAAATCCTGCTCGGTGTATCCATTAAGCAAGCATGAGAGATGGCAAAAAACCTGAGCCCAAGTCTAGGCTGTTACTTGTTAAAATGTTAATCCAACCCAATTATTTGACTTCTTTTACAATGGATGGACCTATGCTCGTGAAGAAGAGGTTTTTGGTGGGGGCCCATTGAACAGGTAGTTGATGACTTGATGATAAATTCCTCAAAAGCATGGTCTTGGGGCCCAATTCCCAGGGTTGGTTATGGAAGGGGCAGTGATATCCGATCTGTTTTGGGGGTTTGGCCGGATCTGTGAAATACCTCGTAGCTGTTATGGAGCGTATAATTCCAATTTCAATTAATAGAGAAAAAGAGTTGCAGATCTTCTCATCAAAATTCTAAAAACTCGAAGAAATTTGCTAGATTTAGAGAAACCACTCATGTTAGTTTGGCATGAACAGAGAGGTCTATTTCCAATGACTTTTCTTTACATGTGTCTGATGTTTGCTTGTTTTGGTTCAATCCACAAATTTATCACTTTATCAATTCATTTGTTTTGGAAAAACCCAGGTCCCGGTTCAGGAATTCTTTGGAAAATGACAAACTGGGTAATGGACTTTTCCTGGTATTTCTTTGCAAGGCACACTTGCTCTTTGAATTTCAACAGCTCAGAATTACCATCATATATACCATTTATAATTCTTGATCTGGTTGCTTCAAAGAGGATGACTTCTTATTGTGGCAGAATTTTGAATTACATTTCTTCTTTGGTAAAGTTTGTGTCATTCCCATTGGGAGTTGCAGAAAGACCAGATTTGATAGAATGAGAAGAGTGCTGATGAGATGGCACTGTCCTCAGGGTAAGAATCCATGTCTTCTATCACTTGTTTGGCTTGAAAATCCAGACAACAAAAAATATCAATTTCTCCTAAAGGGGTCTAGTTTCTTTTCCTCATCAATAATAATTCACATGAAATGTTTAGAGCTCCACAATTGATCCATTTGTCCCTTAAGCTGGACTTAATTAGTGCCTTGTCTGATGCTCTATACATGGATAACATGAAATTTGAGAGGGCACCCAATATAATGGCTCATTCATGGATGAACCAATCTCTTTCTCTCTCTCTCTTTGTTAAATGGATCATACCATAGCTCCATGGTTAGTATGAGGAAGATGGTTAAAGTCATGTGCTATATGCTATTTTAATTGGACCCATTAATGGTGGATACCAATCCTTGACATGGAATGTGTGGCCGTTTGAAGTTCACATCATAGGCGCTGTATATCATGACTGTCCTCCCATTACAATACTGCTCCTTCCAGGAAAGGAGCTCTTTGGTTTGGAAGTTGGCACTAATCGGGGACAAATGGAGTTGGTCACATGTTAAAGAGAGGATATGACCCACCATTTAATCTCTCTCCTCCCCCCTAAAATTAATGCTTATGTTCATTACAAATAAAATACAGGCCAAAATTAAAGCATGATCTTTGCAATTTATTGACATAGCTGAGAGAAAAAGATATTTTTTGATCTGATGTTCAGTTTTATGCATGGTTTTTAAAACCGGACTGGACTGGAAAAATTGGGAATCGGTCAGGTGATCGGTTCTGTTTTACCCCAAAATCGTTATTTTGTCAAAAACCATTGATTTGGTTAGTAAATCGCTGATCCAAGTGATCAAACAATTCGAAACGTCCAGTGATTTTGAAAGTTTTTATTTTTTGTCAGAACGGACTATTCATTCAATTCGAACGACCAGACTGTTCGACCCAAAAACCACACTTCTGATCGGTTCATTATCCGATTCAATTTTAAAAACTTTGATTTTATGTTTCATCTTTTTAGTGGGTTCTGTTTTTTTATTTCCTAGCTTTTCTGGTGGGCACACTACAAAGCAAGATGTCATCATAAAGGTTGAACAAAAATATGGGGATATGACATTGCAACCTCTTCCAGTCATCACTCCACTCCTCTACAATTAATTAATAAACCAACTTCTTTTCTTTTATTGGGATTGATTTAAAGTTTTGTTTGATCTTTATGAATCCTTCTTGATGTTGTATATATCTGTTCTCCTACGTAATTTCTATAAATAAATAAATAAATAAATAAATAAATGAAACAACGGTTCTCTTACGATTATAAACCTAACCATGTCTTCAGTTCTTTCTACAATTTTCTACAATTTGGTTTTAGTGATGTTAGTGGGTCGGGTTAAGTGATAAACCCGCCTTGACCCAACTAACAATGTTGGATTGGGTCGGGTTGGGTGGAGGTTGATCTGCACTAAATCCATCCCATTTATGTAATGCCACCGAAACATTTGTAAATAAAAAGAATTTACTGAATATAAAGGTATCAATATCATTAATGGAATGAGGTAGGCACAGGTCTGGTACCCCAATCGGAGGTGCAACTTGGGAAGATTGGGTCGGGTTGAAGGTGAACACAAGTAAGGTTGGGCTTAGTCACACGGTTGGATTTAAAAGAATTTATGAATATAATTTTTATCCATTTTATTGGGTTTTATAGCCCAATATAGGAATAAAATTGATTGAAAATATACACAAATATATGTATATATACATGTATATAATTAGAAAAAAAATATATAAATAAAATACATGTATTTATGTATGTATTTGGACAAGCTTGGATTGGATTGATCCGGGTTAGAATCAAACTCGAACCACCCAAGGTGTCAACCCAAATTTAAGTGAGGTCCGAGTGTTCAGCAGTCTGACATGCACAGGCTCAACTTGTGCAAGAACTCGTCCGTTTGGGCAGCAAGTTCAGGCGCCCTAGCCCTCACTTGCTTTCTCCGCAACCTTTCGCGCTCAAGCCGTTAAGTTGCAGTCCTACTCCCAATTTGTTTTATCAGATTGGGTCAGGTTTTTCTGCTTGGAGTGGCTTTTGAATTGGTTTCAGGTTGAGCAAAGCATGTAGCAAAATCCGGTCTGTTGGCATCCCTAAATTAGTAAATTATGGAAAGAGGCACGTCTCATATCCAAGAGGCCATTTCGTTTTCTTGGAAGCTTGTAAATAATGTCCTTATGCCAGTAGTATCATAAGAACAAAACAATCTTGTTTGGCCCCATTTTGTTTTGAGGGGCCAAATAATGTTGATTTTCACTTTCCAGGTACAACTCTATAATTGGATCCATATTCACATTTGATGGGTGTGGAAACAGTTTGCCTAGCCTACCTGACCCACATCCACGCCCATCTACAGATGGGTCAAGTTAGGCTAGGCGTGTAAAGGCCCAGTAAGCCGTGTCTCAGCGACAAAATAGTTGGACATTGCGTAGGTAGTTTGGTACTTGTCTGCTTTTGATGGTATGCCAACATGGTAGTATGCTCTGTTTATTATCCAGAGAGCCAGAATCAATCCTTCTCTTACCGGAGGGCTTCACAATGGTTAGGCCTCTCTCACTCTAAAAAAGGGGAGAAAAATAATTTCAATCCCAGAAATTAATCCCATTTTGGTTCTCACTTACTTTTTTTTTTTTAACTTGAGGCTCAGTTTAAAAAAGGTATAATTTCTAATATATACAATATAAATACATACAAAATAATATAAGTACAATGTTTTACCCTTTTCATATTTGTATTTATATTCCTTCCAAACAGTGCAAATACATATAAAATGATATAAACTATAAGGTTTTGTGGAATATAAATGAAAAATGCAGCTTGAAAGCTTCCATATAGAGATTAGAGAGTGGATTTCACTTTTAAAACAATCAACTCGCTTAAAAGAGTACGGGCCAATTTAAAGGCATAGCCTAGCTCAGGAAGGTCCACGGCCTGGTGGACATGCTGGGACCATTAGGCCTATTACTTAATATTATTGAATGCCAGGTCCACTACTCTGCTAGGCCTAGATTATTGCCCTTTTTGACCTGTGGCTGTGATGATGCTATGGAGTTGTCTATCACCGCTAAAGAGTGGTGCAGAATTCCAAAGCCTCACAATTTTTGCTAAAATAAGATAAAAGAGATATTAACCTCTTGATTCTCTTTTTTCATGCAGGGGTGTCAATGGATCGATTTTGGGTCATTCAAATCAAAATCAATTTGGATGGATTATTGAATCATACCAATTCGGCCTTAAGGTCCAAAGTGTTTATTGGATTGGATTCGACCTGATCCATCCGTAATCCATTATAGAAGATAAGAATATAAGTCTCGGGCTAAGATTTTTTTTTTTTTTTTTATTATTGCTAGGTAAATAAACTATATTATTATGGCAAAAGATTTATAGTCTTGGGTAGAAGTTTTTGCCCTCTGAGCTATGAGATGAGCAAGAATATTGAAGTTCCTATTTACATGACAGGTAGAAAATGAACTAAACTGGAGCAATAGAGCTTTGGTCTTCATCAAAAAACCAACGGCAAGACCAAAGAAGAAAGGCCTCCGGTCAATGTGCTAAGTTTGGAACTTGAAACCGATCTAAAATAAAACTAATTTGAATAAATTGAACGGTCCATACATTAAATTGATCCAAAATTTTCATCGAATTGGATTGAACCTGATTTATCTGTAATGGATTCATATTGGATCGGATTAAATTGGACCAAATCCAGTTCAATAGACATCCATACCTTCAGGTTTTCAAATGAACCCCATTGCCGTATCTTGAAGAGAACTTGGCAACTAGCAGAATGGAAACGCATCTCTTTGTATGAACCATGAAGAGGCGCTTCTTGTCAAATCCAAACTTATAATAGTGCACCAGATTTCTATATCACCTCTAATGTCAGGAACGAGTCAAATGTGATAGGTGCCATGAGTGGGCTTCTGCTTTCGCGTGACTGTGACTACTTAGGCCGAATATTCAGGCTTTATTTCAGGCAAGACTCCTGCATAACTTCCTGCACTCTCAATTACAGGGTGCCATGTCAGCATTCTTATGCAGATTTCCCATGTACCAATAGTAGGGGTGGCAATCTTGACCCTGACTCTTTTGTCCCATCCAACCACCCACTTCAAAACCCACCCATTTCAGGAGTGGGTCATATGGGTCAAGTTATCCAATAGGGTCAGGAAAAGAAGGTCAGGGTGGGTTGGGTCACGGGCACCCAATGGGTCGTGATGGGTTTTTATTTGCGAAGGTGTGGCTAACAAGCTTCTTCAGGTTCGATTTATGTCTACCAAAAACTGGGTTGCAAACATCCTTACCAAATGTCTCAATTATGATCATTTTGCCATTTTCCATTACAAGATTGACTGTTAGTCTGTTACTTCTGCCTTTATCAACTTGAGGGGGATGTTAAGGATACTCTAACTACTTAATTAGAGCACTCCAATAGAATCCATGAGAGCTCACATCTTGATTCTAACAAATTACAGATTTAAATAAGTCTTATTCGATCATTATGCATATAGAACATACGTTATTACTAAAAGTCTATTTATATATTGTTGTAAATAGAGAATAGGATACAATCGACCTCTCTTGACTAATTATGAGTGAGAACAATTTTACACAAACCTGTTTATAACAATTCGGCCGCTGGTATGATAACATTGATTGAATGACCAATTATTATTGAGGATAACATTTTGGATATAGAGGTAAAAAGAAAAAAAGATACTGCAAAGGTAATGGCAAAGATTGCGCTCTCTTCCATAATTTTTATTTATATTCAAGCTATTATTAAAAGTGGGAATGGGGTATTTGAGAGTTTTGGACTTTTTCTTAATCAAAATACCTATCTTTTCGAATTTGTTCCTTCTCTTTTGTGAGGATAGAAAATATAATTGGGATGCTACTTTTAAGTTCATTCAATTACCTGCCATTAAGTTTTATATTTGAGTTATTAACTCTCATTCTCTCTATAGTTTTTATTTATATTTAGGCTAGTATTAAAAGTGGAAATGAAGTTTGAGAGTTTTGGACTTTTTCTTAACTAAAATACTTCTCTTTTTGAATTCGGTCCCTCTCTTTTGTGAGGGTAGGAAATGTAATTTGAATGCTACTTTTCAGTTGATTCAACTCCCAATCATTAAGTTTCATATTTAAGGTATTAATCCTCATTCTTTCTCATTGAATCCTATATTTGAGGTGTTTTTTGTTTTCATCATAAATTCACTAGTTAAATCCATACATAATAATTTTAATGGTATAAAACCCATATTTTTAAATCTAACTTGAAAACAAAAGCATTTAAACCTATTTAATTTAAATGGGTCAAACCTCGATGTCATAATTATGGAAAAATCTATGATGCCAGAAAGATATCATACTGGAAGAACTTTGACCAATCAAAATGATGAATGAATTTTGGTAAATACCATCTAATTGATTAACACTTTATGATATCTGTTGATTGGTCACAAGTTTTTTGGATATCATGACTTTCCAATAGCATGGTTGAACCCCACAAATAAATAAGTAAAAATATAAAAAGTTACAAAAAATAAAGAAAAATTTAAACTCATCTTTAAGTATTGTATACTCATCATAATAAACAAAAGTATGTATGATAAATAAGAAGTATTTTTATTAATCATGAAAATAGAATACAAAATTTAAAACTGAACTGGGAATGTAACCATTTTCTTATTGGATGGTGGGTTAGTAGCTCAACCATTTGGGTCAAATGGGTAAACCCACGATTCATAATAAAATAATACATATTTAAAAAAATAGAAAGTTAGAAATGCAAACATAGAGAAAGGTATAGAAATTTTGTAAAAAATATTTGGACAAATTTATAATATTGCATATTCATCGTATTAAATAAAAATAAATATGAAAAATAAGAAACTGTCTTTTAATGAAAGAAATAGAATGCAAAATTTAAAATAAATCTAAAAGAAAATAGGTTTTCCATCCAGGTACTAACACTTAGATTAGGCCGGATGGCTGGACCATGAAAATCAGGAGCTAGTGGATATTTTGGTTCTTTGGAACCCCAGTTTTTCAAATTTCTAAAAAATTGGATGATCTGTTGAAAATTGAGAACTGATATGCATTATTTTTTTAACATTAGTTTTTCAAATTTCTGAAAAATTGGATGACTTGTTCAAGAACTGGTTTGAACCATTGGAAACCATATAGGTTTCAATGATCCGACCAGTTTTGGATGACCAGTCCAAGTCATTAATTTATTATAAATTATAAAACATCCGACCAATTTTTGTATATAATGTGACGGGTCATCAGGTTGAACCAATGGTTAGGCCTGCCATTTAACCCATGACTTAGAAGGCATTCCGGTTTCATGTCCAATCCAAATCTTACAATATTGAAAATATATGAGAAAAAAATGAGAATTAATGTTATTAATAATCAAAATGGCTAAAAATACAAAGAAAATAGAAAAAGAGAATTAATGTATCCCAGTCAAATTGATTAGTGGTTCAACAAGTGAGGTTTTTCACAAGAGGTGGTATGGGCTGAAAGTTGAAACAAACTAAAAAGTTTGTCAAAATCACATGTTAATCAATCTGGCTATCGAATTCAATTGCATGCCGAGAGACACTAATAAACAAAAGAAGATCTGAAATTAGGTATTTAGTTTTTTTTTTTTGGATAAATTTTTGAAATACTTGTCATGAACAGTGGGATGATATTTTATTTTGGTCATGCATCAACGCATTCATCACTACAACATTATAAAATGCAACAGATCCATCACAACAATATGCTTTGAATACTTGTGTCTCTGTTACATCATTTTGATAAAAAAATACTAAAATTATTAGTATTCAAATTGCCACACATAATGCATATATAAATTTACTAGTAGGAGGATTTCAAATACTTGGTTTTTATTGGCTCCATTGCTTCTAAGGTGCATTAGGGAAATGCTTTAAAGTGAGGGAAGGGGCTTTCCATGGAGGAAGTACTTAACAAGGTCAAGTGCCCTCAGTGGCTGGTAGCTTGGGACCTCATGACCTGCTCCTCTTACTGTAGAAAATGTTAGGCCACCCTTGTACACGACAGTGTATCCACCAACCTATGACCAACAAGTGAAATGCCAACTCTAGATAAGAGATCTCCAAGTTCAAAAGTCACTCAAATAAGGGTGTCCATTGTACAGTCCAAACCGCATAATCGAACTGAATCAAACTGAACTTACATGCAATTTGGTTCGGTTTTCATTTCAAAACGATGCTAGTTTGAAAAGTAGGGGTGGTGTTATTTGGGCTTTCTAATTGGGTCCAGCCCAATAGAATCATAAAATGTTCTAAACCGTATTAAAAGCCCAATAGAATCATAAAATTGTCCAAACTATATTACTGATTTAGTCTGAGATCATAAAATTTTCCAGACAATAATTTACTGATTTAATCTGAGATCTCCAAACTTCATGGAACCTGCAGTCAGCAATGTCTGAAACTCTGCTTTCTAATTCCATTATTTTATATATATATAGATATATAATTTCATATATTATATTATGTATATAAGTGATATAGGCATAATTGATCACCCCATTGGATGATGACACGTGATACACCCTAAAGATAATCTCGTCACCTCGACCTCACCTAAGGGCAACACTGTAACCTTTTGGGGTCATTACTGCAACGACATTTACTACAGGCGTTATGATCTCAGCTGAACTCTCTTCCCCACGTATTAATTATGGAGTAACGCTCAGCCACTAGGATCTCGCCCGAGTAACCATTGCATTCATGACCTTGATTCATAGGATCGTTACCTTTCGCCCACTGCTAGGCCCCTGGGCAACTCCGACTATAAAAGGGCATCACTCAGACTCTTGCACATTACTCATCTTACTATGACCTCAACTATCTTATAACCTTCGGCTAATTTGATCGTCGGAATTCTCACTCCTAAGACTACTCCGAGGACCTTTAATGTCTTTTGGGTCTTTGCAAGTGGGACTCTCGACCACTTGACTTCATAAATTATTAAGCTGCCCTTAACTCCAAATTTAGCAAAAATAACAAGTTTATATACCGATCAAATTCTGATGTTGCCAAATCCCATCCGAATTTGGACCGAGATCACAATCCTAATTCAAGCTATCTGATTTGAACCATCCAAAAGATGGTCATTATGGGGCTAGAAGATCTGATTAGTAGGTTATTAATTCCTTGAACAAAAGAGGAAAGTGGGATATATAATAAACCAAGCCCATTATAAGAGGATTGAGAAAACATTACCTCATTGTTTGTGTACCAAGGATACCATGACGTATTTACTAGAAGTTGAAGCTTATTCAGAGAATATTTGGTTGAAGTTACAGGAACTCTACCATCTACGTCGCCACTGCAATAAATATAATGAGAACTTAAGAAATATTCTGACAAAGGTAGAATGAGAATATTTTAAATGACATGTGTCAGTAAATTTTAAATGACATATTTTAAAGTTCGATTATACTCCCAAAGATCAAGGGTTTTTACTGTTTAGTTTATCCTTAGAAATTATAATTTTATCGTACAATTGGGTGTAGGTGCTAGCTTGGAATTGATGTCAATTTACAGATGAATATAAATATTATAGGTGGAGGCATTTATAATTATGAATTATTATAGATATACAGTTTAATTCAGAATTCTTATGATCCAACATTTCTTATATTTGCACAACACCCACCATCTTCACAGTGTTCGATTGATACAAGACTTGTTGGTATTAGGTACTTTGACAGTATGATTATGTACAGTTTAAAGCCTCGTATTTTGTATTTTATAAACCTATATTTATATTGTACATATTTGTATTATTACTCTTCCCAAACTGAGTTTGGAAGGAATAGAAATACAAATACCTACAGTGCAAAACCTATTATTTCTTATTTATTATATGCTTCAGTAATTCATCTTGTTCTGTTTGGACCTTCATGAAGAATCAAGTGGAACCCTTTTGATATAGATCTAGGGGACAAGTTGAAGACACATCAATTGGACCCAGATCGATCGTCAAAATTGCTTAGATCCTATTAATTTTTAAAGGAAATAAGGCTCAGTTTGGAAGGAGTACAAAAGCAAATATGTAGAGTACAAAACCTTATATTTTGTATGTTTTGTATGCATTTGCACAGTATATATTTACATTTTGCATTTATACTCCTTCCAAACCGAGCCTAAGGAAACTTCTTCTTTACCTGAAAACCAAAACCCGAATTCCTTCAGCCATGAGCTCCTGTAAGAGGGGAAGAACTGTTGATGCACTGTCTGACCAGTTGCTGTATATTTCGTGGCTGCGGTTTTTCTGATTTCCGTTAAAAAGCTCAAGTTGTGGAAAGAAGAAAGAGAAGAACAAATGATCAGCACAATTAAGTACTGGTTTCCTTTCTGTTACTTACTTGCAGGGTCGCCATTTATATTTGAGTTTGGTGATATTGGCATGAAGAGCCTCTTGGACATCTGGATGGTTTAAGTAAGCAATCACATAATAATCGCTGCATGGATCGAATTTCATGAGCTGCAAATTAAAACAAGCAGTCTGTTTAATTGTCTTTCCAAATATTGTTCAAAGGAACTAACAACCAAGTACCAACAGTCTTCATTGGATATATAACAATGAAGACTGTTGTACAAGTACAACCAATCTTACCGAGGCCATTTTGGGTTTTTCTGTAAGATTGGAAGAGAAACACAGGGGGCCATAGATGTTGTAGATATCAATAAAGCCCACATTCATCTCAGCTTCAATGAGACTGTTCAAGCATTTTTCACTCAATTTGGTGGCATTGAAATTGCAGTATGTGTTGATTGCCTTGTTGGTTTCATCGGAAGATAGAGCATGGGTCCAAACATAATCATACATGCCCTTCATGTCAGTTTCATCGTTGAGCACTGCATTTCCGATCTGCAATTTTTGCAAAGACAACAGATCATGTAAACTGTAAATTGATTGCCTAATGGCTCTTTATAGTAGGGGTGTCAATGGACCGGTTTCGGGTTGGACTCCGTCCGATTAGAAGTGTTATGGACGGATTTGGATGTTCCTAAAATTGATATGGACTCAGACCGGTCCGAACATGAATCATCCATTCATAGAATGGACCGAAAGTGGACAAGGTCAAAAGTTCGAACAAGCCCGCTGTCCGTTCATATGGAAACTTTTGAAACCTAGTTCAGTGCCTCCGTTGATTGTTGAAAGACGACACGTACGTATTGAGAGGCTGTTGTCCGTTGATTGTTGTTATTATTTCATAGTGACCACTGTGGATTCTTACGAAGTGTGAGTAGGGAAAACATTTTCTGAGGAAAACATTTAATTTGGACTGGATTGGGTCCAATCCGGTCCATTGGCATTTCAATTGGACTGGACTAGATCCGGTTTATATGGGGTTTGGATTGGATTTGGTCCAGCCCATTTATAAATGGACCAATGTTGGACTGGACCAGATTTGTTATGGATGCATTCGAGGGAAAGGTTTACTGCCGCCGCCGGCAGCAGCAATAAGGAGCGGGCCCATACGACAGCTCATCAGGGGACCCACACTTATCTTGCCACAACAGCTCTGCTCGCCAACTCGCCGCCAGCTTACATTATCCCTCATCCCTTATCCTTATCTTATCTTATGTTCTTAGCAAGTGTTCTGTTTGCCACAAGAAGTAGGAGTTTGTTCACCATTAGAAGTAGGAGTTTGAGTTTGATTTAGAGAGGGATTATCCTAGCCTAGCCGAATACATCAAGGAGCTCCCTCTTGTAATCTCCTATTTAAGGAGGCTATGAATTGGAATAAAGCATTCAACTTTCCCAGTTAAGAAGAGAGCAAGGAGAGTTCGGGTGGTCTCTTGGACAAATCACCCACTAGGAAATCACAATAGGGTCTGTGCGCAAGGGAAGGTCCCGTGGACCGACCCGTGACGAGATCCTACGCCCAGGCCCATAACATCTTGGTATCAGAGCCTACCGTCATGGGGGAACAGGAGCCGCTGTCTTCCAGGGTCCACGAGCTGGAGCATAGGCTCACTGAAACCAGCATGGAGGTTCGTGAAGTCAAGGATGGTGTCTGGGAGCTGCGACGCCTGCTAGAAACGTTCCTCTCCAACAAAGAAAGAAGTTATGAGGGAACCGCCACCACCAACAGCCCTACTATATAGTATATACTACTTGTGTCGTAATAACCCACAAGAATATTAAGAATATTTGTCTGAGAGAGAGAGAGAGAGAGAGTACCATGATCCCTTTGAGATTGATGGTGTTGTTTGGTGCAATCTTGTTATGCAGCAGAATGGTATGAGCAAGTTGAGGAACATAGTGGCCAGCATAGCTCTCTCCAGCTATATAGAAATCCCTGGTCTTGTATTCTGGGAATCTCTCCAACCAATTCACCAAGAAAACATAGTTATCTTGGGCTGTGTTTCCATCTCCTCTTGTATTGTAATCAGATGTCTTGTTCGAGTATGAAAACCCTACCCCCGCTGGAGACTCCAAGAACACCACATTGGCCACTACAAAGAAAAAAAAAAGCCAGAAAGAAGAAAAACAAAACGAAATTCAAGATCAAGATTACCATGCATCTTCTACGTACCAAGGGAAAAAGATGCCTGCAGCTATGACCCATGCAGTAGCTGAATGGATCTCTTGATTCCCCTGTACGTAATACCAAAACAAAACAAAAGGGAAAAAGATTGTAAATAAAATACTACTCGACCTCTATTCCATGAATAATGATTCTCGTAGAGTGTTTTGCCGTCACTGTGAACACGGAACGGACCAAGCTCCACCATTGCTCCATATCCAAATGAAGAACAACCGGGGCCTTGAAACAGATCAAATACACCAAAAAACATTGAAACTACTCTCATATCGATTACGTATTTATTACTACTAGAATTAACATCAAATTTCATTATTATTCTTATTATTGCAATACTACTTATAAATAAATAATAATTAACATTATAATTAGTATTAAAGGATTAAGGTTACATATTAAATCACCACCAACAATTTGAACTACTACCAATGAAATACCCATAATATAGTAACAAAGAAGTATTAATAAATGACTCACATATTCTTTCTTCTTACATATAGAAGCAAGCTAAGATTGGTTTCACATTGGCACCCCACGGAGATAGGCAGGGATCCGTATATAAGCCCCCACCCTCCAAACCCTTTTAAGAGTCATTAATTTCCATGTCTTACGAGTTTGACAATTACAAGAAAAATGGAGCATATAACTGAAACATCCATAATTTGGAAGAAAGAGGAGAGGAAGATTAAGATCAAAGTACCTCCATTGAGCCAAAGAAGTAGAGGTTTGGACTTGGCATCCTGAGCTTCAGCAAAGTAATAGAAAAGAGCCCGCCCGGCTGATTCATCGACCGTGACATAACCTCCATACTGCTTGAACCCAACAGGGGGCTGTCCAGGCAACCTCTCTATCATATCCTTCTCCTTCAACCCTTCCTGTGGAAGGACTTTTGCTTCAGTAATGATTTGGGTCATCTTCATCTCATCACTGGTCAAGTCGATACCAGCTATTTTTCCCTGAAGCTTCTTCTTGTAAAGATTGGCAAGTGCATTTGCTTGACTTGCATGGCTTTGGGCAACAAAGCATGAGAGATAGATCAGAAGAAAGTAAATAACAAGACCAACCTTCATCTTCTATTCTCAATTCTCTCAAGCTTCAATATGAGACGTTTGCATAAGAGAGAGCTATTAATAAATATATGTTTCAAAGTCTTTTTGGTTCAAGTTTCAAAGTCTCCTCAGTCCTCACCATTAAATCCGACCGATTTATTAGCTGTTTCATTTCACAATAATTCCCACTAAAAGTCCATGTACAACCATCCACAACCACAAGTTTTGTTGCTGAACCGCGTTTAACCAAGTTTTTGTCAAAATATTCAGTGCGTATGGGATGGGGTTGGATGTCTCATCCAAGTCAGATTGGAAATTTTTTAACAGGAAACCTCTACGAGGCTTCTGTGTTAGAGTAGTCAAGCAGAATCGAAAGTGGAGGGTCTCACATTTTATGAACTGACAGCAAAAAATAATATCTAAATGATTAATTCTAAAGGGCAAATCATTCTCAATCAAGTGAGACTTGAAACTTTAGAAGAAATCTTATATAGAGTGGTTTGGGGTTTTAGAAATGTTTAGAAGAACATTCCGTGAAATTAACTGATGAATGCTCAGCTCCAACAATGGGGATTGGGGTTCGGGAAAACAAGGGTTAGGGGGCTAACGTAATTACTTGGTTGGATAGTGTCTATAATTTACCCTTTTATCTTGGGTCACTTATTAACACGCCTCCAACTCCAATGCTTAATCATAGTTACCAAAACACCCCTGTAATTTGCAAATCATTAAGATTTAAGACACCCTTTAATTTGCAGTCGAGTCATCTATTGTTCTATCTTCTATCCATCAAAAACCATTATTTTCTTTTCTTTTTTGATGACTCTAAAAATTAGTGAAAAAGCATGGACCTAAAACTTTTCCTCCCCAAAATGCCCATAACTGTTTCCATATTAATTGTTATGATTTTGGCAAATTATAGCTTATTACCATACAACTCTCTTGTTTGATATGGTATGCATTCCTCGTTAGCTCAAAAGTTCACGTGTTTAAGCTTAACTTAAGTTTCATATAAAAAATAAAAATCATATATACTTTTTCAAAAAGGGTCAAAGTAGTAGAGACATCGTTTCAGTTTTTCATTTTTCCTTTTTTATTTATTGGCAAAATCGTTAAGTTATTTGTTAAAGAGGAAAAGCAATAAGTATAGGAGGTGTCTTATATATATAAATGACCTTTTTGTTTTGTTTATTCACATCCTCACATCCTCTAAAGTAATCAGAGAATATTGAAGTGGATGGCTTGATTCAAGTGATGACTCCTATTAAATTGTTACAAATCACTTTTTGGATGTTAAAAGCCATTTCATCCAAAATTCAAAAACTTATACAAAACCAAGGATGTCCCACTTAAACTTGAAAAGTGATTCTACAGACCCAAAGAATTTTGAACAATCAAAATTAAAACCCCTTGTAAATTGTGATGAACGCGATGAAAAAGCAATTAAGCAAAAACAGTCAATGTGACCTATGAGTTGCCACCACGTGGCAAAGAAATAATTCATTATATAAGAATCTGGTTTTAGGCTTTTAGCCTTAGACCCAGAACAGCCAATGTCATTCTTGTCATACTACTTGAGTCTGTTTTATGGCTCCCACCGCGGATTGCAGATTATTCCTTAAGAAACAAGGAAATAAATCAGGTATTTGGGGGCCATGTTTATCTCTAACAACGATAGAAATATCATAATTAAGCCCACGTCTACGCGTCTAAGCTGTTACTTGTTTTATTCATCCTTTTTCAAAGCTGTTAGTTTTGTTGGACCAAGTCCAAATGGAAGTTCATTGGACTTGTTTTAGCGTGGAAAGCAACTTTAGTGTGGGCCCTTTTGAAGAGGAAATTGATGAATTCCTCAAAAGCTTGTTGTTGAATAATTGTATTGTTAATTTGGCTGGATCTGTGGAAAGAATAATTCCAGTTAGTAGGAAAGACAACTGCAGAGACCCTCGACCACATTAATATTCTAACAACTGAAAGCAATTTGCTAGACCTAGAAAAACCACTCATCGTGTATAAAGGTCTATTTTCGTTGATTTTCATACAATACTTGTATTTTAACACAGATGAATGGAAGCGATTATTGACTTGTTCTAAATCTTCAAATCTAAGTTGATATCAGAACATCCGATCCAAAATTTTCCATGGCTCAAAGAATAACCCATCTGCAAGAGAAAGAGAGCTTAACCCAACAATCACTTTGCTACCCAGTAATATCTCTCATTATTTTCCTGTAAGACTCAATGGGAGCAACTATAATCTCGAAATTTGGTTTGTGAGCCCTGTCAACTTGGCAAGTCCAAGCGTCTTACTCTACCAACTTGAGCAAGTCGTAGCACAATTCCTCTTCAGTTAACATTATTCTCTGACGTTTGGGGGCCTGTTCTCCTAACGTCCTATGAAGGCTACCGCTATTATGTGTTATTTTTAGATGATTACAGCAAGTATGTTTGCATTTTACCATTGCTTCACAAATTGGATGTGCTGTTTACTTTCATTCAATTTAAGAATATGGTAGAATGTTTCTTTGATTACAACATCAAATGTCTTCAATTTCTCAATTTCTTCAAAGTGAAGAAATTTCACATCGGGTATCTTGCCCTCGTACCCACGAGCAAAATTGGTGCTTCATAAAGGAAACACCCTCACATTGTAAATCCCAAACTACTAACTCATCTTTGTCTACTTCACAAATCTCTTTATGGGCTTAAACAGACTCCGCGGGCCTGGTTTCAGCGGCTCTCGAATCATCTTCTCACTATGGGTTCTTTTGGTTCTAAAACTGATACCTCTCTCTAGATTTACAACTCCAATGGCCTTATCATGTATGTATTGGTTTACGTAGATGACATTCTTGTCCTGGGGAATGATACATGTACTACCACAACTCTCATTGAGGAGCTTTCTCGCCATTTTGCACTCAAGGACCTCGGCTCAATCCCTTATTTCTTAGGTGTGGAGGCCCATGATAGTGATGCTAGTCTTCATTTGTGCCAAAAAAAATAAAATAAAATACATTGCTAAGTTACTTCACCGCACTCATATGGATGGTTCGAAGCCCATCTCCACACCATTTTGCATGTCCACCTTTACACCTAAGCATTATCTTCCTGATGCTACAGAATACGGCGTAGCATAGTAGGAGCATTACAATATCTTCTCATCATCATGCGACCTAATATCACCTTTGTTGTTAATCATCTCTGTCAACACATGCATCTCCCAACAGAGGTGGATTGGTTTTCCATTAAGAGAGTACTCTGCTACCTGAAACACACCATAGATTATGGGCTCATCATCAAGCCCTTGTCTACTTATCTTCTACAAGCGTACTCTGATTCCGATTGGGAGGGCCCCCTGAGGATCGGAAATCAACCACTGGGTATGCTGTCTTCCTCGGAGATAACCTTATTTCTTGGTGCTCCAAGAAACAGAAAGCTATTGCGCGTTCTTCCACTGAAGCGGAATACTGAGCCCTTGCCACAACTGTTGCTGAAGTTACTTGGTTACAATCATTATCATTATTGGAGGAACTTGGACACTTTCTTCCCCATCCTCCGATTGTCTGGTGTGACAACCTCAGTGCAACTTACCTCACAGGAAATCCCATTTTTCACTCCTTCCCGGAACCTAATTGTTCGGTACATACCTACAGTCGATCAAACTGCTAACATCTTCGCCAAAGGGCTATCTCCAACTTGTTTTTTGACCATGAGAGAAACTGAATGCTGTTCCTGCCCCCGTTCAGTTTGCGGGGGCATATTGACCAATCTAAATCAGCGTCAATTACACGTGAGACTTCAGCACATAACACGTGATAAAAAATGGAAGATGGAATCGTTTCTGGAAAGTCGATCTCCATCTGTTGTTAATTCCTCTGACTGTATTCTGTACAGCTGTATCTTGTATTTGAAATTCAAATTTCATACAATACTTGTATTTTAATACAGATGAATGAAAGTGATTATTGAGTTCTTTTCAATCCTCAAATCTAAGTAGAAGAAATAAACATAAAAAAATTCTTGCAAAAATAATGGAGTTTATTTCTAGTTAGATTATAAAAAAAAAAAAAAAATGCTCGGATATCCCGATTATTTTTGAAGCTAGGAAGTCAGTAAGAAAAAAGATCACAATGAGACAGTCATTAAAAGTTAAAAATAGATTACAAGGGTGGAAAGCCAATACCCTTTGGAAGGATGGCAAGACCACCCTGATAAAATCTATGACAAGTTCCACCCCTTTCCACTTAATGGTCCATTACTAGTTATCTAAGGATGTTCTTTTCTGATATATTGACAAAATCCAGAGAAGCTTCTTCTAGGGAGATAAAAAGAAGAAAGAAATTATGGAACCATCTCCATAAACCCAAGATGGGAGGTCTAGGATTAAGAAAAGCAAAGCTTGCTTGGCGAAGCTAGGCTGGAGAGTTTTGGCCCAGAAAAGTAACTGGTTAAAGTAATAAGAATAAAGTTGGCTTCTTCTAAGGTACCCAAAATCTAGACTGTCCCTTGTATGGCGAGGCATTTTGAATGGTAGGTCTTCTATTAATGGGTCTGAGATGGAGAGTTGGCTCAGACAGATAATTGGATTGGGCTGGGTGGTCAGACCAATCCACTTGAATAAGTTGGACCGTAATCCAAAAGTGGAGCAGCTCATCTTGGGACACCCGGAAGTTGGAGCATGTTGTTCCAATAAGCACGATTGACAAGTTTAAATGCTTCCAGTGGCTGGTAGCTTAAGGCGTCGTGACTCGTGACCTGGTGGCCGGTAGCTACAGTGAAACGCCAAATGTTGATGTATGGTTCTACATTTGTATAAAGTACCCATTTGTGTATGGGCTCAAGCCCAACACCCATTGATTGAAAACCTGGCCTGATAGGCTGGCTGAGCCGCTGAGGTCTATATGCAAAAGGATAATAAAACAAGCCTATGTTAGAGAAGAGACCTCATCGTTTGTGTACCAATGATAATGATACCATGACGTATTTATTTGAAGTTGAAAGCTTATTCAGATTGAAGTTACAAGAAACTCCACCATCTACATAACCACTACAATTCATATAGTGAGAACCATTTTAAGTGCTTCAATATTTCAATTATCACATTAA